ATTTTAATATTTATTATTATACTCACAATGCGTGGTTGGGCCCCAGGTAGTGGTGGGTCCTAGGAAACTTTCCCTTTTGTTAAAATGGTCCTGGATAAAGTAACTGCTATTAAAATTGAACAACGAAGATAAATTAGACATTACTGGTTATGAGATTGAGCTAGAGTATTCTAAAGAAGAAAAATGGCATGTATTTAAACTAGGATCAAACTGAAAGTAAAGACGTAGAGTTGAGTGAGTGATGTGAGTGTGAACAATGTATGCAAATGGAGAAGTATGAAGAAAACGTGTGATACACAAGACCTGATTTAACAAAATCAAACGTAGAAGGTGCGAGCAATCCCACTATTCGTTGGTAAAAGAGTGGCCCAAGAGTTGGCGGTGGGTGGTGATGACTAGCTGCCTTCCCTGTAGTCTTACACTGCTAAATTAGCGCAGATAGCCCTCGTGTAGCTTTGCGCGAAATTAAAAAAAAACAAACAAACATTAATAAAATAATCATTAAAACGCTTAATTTTAAATTATTGCACTATTGGCTCTTCTAATCGCTTGCGCGCCCCACACTTTGGGATACACTGTTCTAAGATATATATTCTATTTAGTGTTTAGAGTAACGATTCTGGCTAGAAGGGTCCAACCAAGTTAGTCCAATTTATATAGATTAAACTGTAGGTTTTATTAATTTACAGCTTGTTATTATTGCTCTTTGTTTTTCTTCGTCAAATCTGAGAACCAATAAAATGTACTGTCAGCACACAAGGATTTTTATTGAACAGTAAGGTTATTTCTGTCGTAGTTCGAAAGTTTGTTTCTCTTGGGAGGGAGGGAGAAAATGTCTTCCATAATACAATGTGGTAAACTTTAATTGAGGATACTTTCTATTTTGTATTTAAAGAGCAACCTTTTAAACCAGCATAGAACAATATTAAGTGGATGAGGAACCAATGGTTACAGAACGAAAAGGTTTGTAAGGTATTGAAAGTGGTCATCCGTTGAATGTAAGATTTTGTTTTCTGGGCTTGTTCAAGTTGTTTTTCTTCTTATGAAGTAGCTAGTATTGATCCTCGTCTGTCTCTTTCTACTGAGACGTAGCAACAAATTGGGAACAATGTACCATGTTTGGACAGACTTTGTTTTTCTTATTTCCGTTATTTGTTCACATTAACAAGATTATTCCATGTTACGATGTACATCAGATCAGGATTCCAGGCTTATTTATTATACCATGTTACGTTGTACATCAAATCAGGATTCCAGGCTTATTTATTATACCATGTTACGTTGTACATCAAATCAGGATTCCAGGCTTATTTATTATACCATTTAAATAAGCCCGGAATCCTGATTTGATGTACAACGTAACATGGTATAATAAATAAGCCCGGAATCCTGATTTGATGTACAACGTAACATGGTATAATAAATAAGCCCGGAATCCTGATTTGATGTACAACGTAACATGGTATAATAAATAAGCCTGGAATCCTGATTTGATGTACAACGTAACTTCACTTTTTCTCTCCTTTTTACTTATCTACACTGAAGGTAATTTTGACGTATTTTTTCTATAGAAATCATTCATTTTGATGTCCATTTTAAGCTGAATAACTACAAATGACAGCTAGCCAACATTCTGGTTTGATGAATTCATTTATACATTTCCGTGTAAAGTTCATTAATGATTGGAATAATTGTCAAATGATAAATTTGGATGTATTTTATGAATTTACACAACCTGGGTTAGGCCTGTGTGAAGTCTTCTGTTGCCATCTTGTATTAATTCAAGATGTATGTTTGTAAATTAGTTTTTACGCGAATTTCTCCTACAGTTCTCGAGCTAGCAGGACCAAACTTGCCCGGCATGGCCAGGTGGTTAAGGTACTCGACTCGCAATCTGAGGGTCGCGGGTTCGAATCCCTGTCACACCAAACATGCTCGCCCTTTCAGCCGTGGGGGCGTTATAAAGTGGTATTCGTTGGTAAAAGAGTAGCCCAAGAGTTGGCGGTGGGTGGTGATGACTAGCTGCTTTCTCTCTAGTCTTACACTGCTAAATTAGGGACGGCTAGCGCAGATAGCTCTTGTGTAGCTTTGCGCGAAATTCAAAAACAAACAAACAAACCAAACTTGGCAGGCACACACACACACACACACATCAAGGGAACTAAAACGCTCCTAAAAGGATCACCCAAACATAATGGGAGCTTAGGATTAGATTTTCAAGGTCGCTGAATCGGGATCTGCTATGGAGTTTCTGGTTCGTGTTTGAAGTTGTATTCATACCACCGTTTACAAGCTGGCGAGACCAAACGTGGTACACGAATCCTAGAGCGGGTGTCCTAACGCTTTTTCTTTTTTTAGAAACAGACTTCCCCCTTGGGGTAGCTATAGAAATAATTGGGGATAATTGCAGAGTTTCATCGGGATGTTGGGATCTTTGAACCCTGTGACGAAGTGCGGGTATTTTATGCTAGTTTTGAAAACCGATATACATTAGTTTGAGCCTTTCTTTTATGAGAGATTTAATGATATATTGATATCTATGTGGTAGTTATGTGGAATATTTATCTTCTGTTTCGTTAGGAAACTAAATCCACCACCGAGTCTTATGAAATAAGCTCTGGCAGTGAGATCTAGTTATGGTCTATTTATTAAAACAACTCAGTTTTTATTATCATACAAGAGAAGAAACTAAATCCACCACAGAGTCTTATGAAATAAGCTCTGACAGTGAGATCTAGTTATGGTCTATTTATTAAAACAACTCAGTTTTTATTAATACAAGAGAAGAAACTAAATCCACCACCGAGTCTATGAAATAAGCTCTGACAGTGAGATCCAGTTATGATCCATTTATTAAAACAACTCAGTTTTTATTATACAAGAGAAGAAACTAAATCCACCACCGAGTCTTATGAAATAAGCTCTGGCAGTGAGATCTAGTTATGGTCTATTTATTAAAACAACTCAGGTTTTTATTATACAAGAGAAGAAACTAAATCCACCACCGAGTCTTATGAAATAAGCTCTGGCAGTGAGATCTAGTTATGGTCCATTTATTAAAACAACTCAGTTTTTTATTATACAAGAGAAGAAACTAAATCCACCACCGAGTCTTATGAAATAAGCTCTGTCAATGAGATCCGTTTATGGTCCATTTATTAAAACAACTCAGTTTTTTATTATACAAGAGAAGAAACTAAATCCACA